TGTTGTTTTTATATTTGTATGATATGTTAAGTGCTTTGGTCAGCTGTGCTGTGGTAAAGCGCTATATAAATAAAGTTGAGTTGAGTTGAGTGAGTTGAGTTAATAATGCTCCCTTCATGAAACACTTCAGCACTTAGTTCTAAAATGTGCTTCAGTGAAACTACAGCTGATGTTGTTGTCATTCCCTGAACCTTGTGGATTGTACCACTCCTCTGTTTCAGATTGTGTGCTCTTTCTATGTATACTAGATCATTGTTTCTCAACTGGTGTCACCCTGGGACCCACTGTCCAGCCCACTTGTGAAGTCGCGACCCACCAATACAGGATTTCAAATAAATGAATTAAATTATAAAGCTTTTTTTTTTTTTTTTCACTGATAAGTCAGTACAGCCTTTGTGTCAGATTTTTCTGTCTGCATTGAGGAAATGTTACTCAAAAATAAAAATAAACACCACAACTGCTGCATAACACAACATAAATACAACAGTCGAATAACACAACAGGGTGCTGTATATGTATAAAACTGAACGCAGAACTTCAAACACAACATGATTATACTTTATAGTCTCTTTTCACTTAACATGCAAGCAAGATTTTATTTTACAGTGAACTAATGAGATAGCTGTAGTTGTCCTTTAGTTTTGACAACAGTTTCAATGTCTAGGCTGATAGTAGACAGAGCTACTCTCAGATCATGTTCAGTGTCTAACCTGTTCCTTTGCTTTGACTTGAGCTGTACCAACCACTTTAACACAGATAGGTTGTTGTGAACAATGGGATTGCTTTGACTGCCAGTGTAGCGAGGGAGGGATATTCAGCAGACATCATGTATTTACACCAGAAATGGGGGAGCCTTACCTCATCAAATTTCTATCTCAGCGTCTGATTACATGACAGTTCGGTCAGCTGATTCTCCTCACTGCTTGGCAACACAGCCCTTTCCATGTCAATTCCAAAGGGATCTCTTATCCAGTGACTATTGTCATGTTTCTCTAGAAAGCAGTGTAGTGGTTTAAGTTACATGTTAATATGGATTATGTAATGGAATAGAGTGTTTGTGTGCTCACTTTTAAGTTCATGTGAGCTGAACAATGAGCTTATATAATGTGGTCAAGATGTTTCCTGTTTTTGGGTACATCTCAGGGTGTTGTCTCCTAAAACTGGAGACAGGAAGCTAAGTTCAGAAATTGATGTAACAGCCTTGTTACTTTAGCCAAACAAAAAGTGCACGGATCCTATAGATAGATAGATAGATTAGACAGATAGATAGATAGAAACTTTATTAATCCCGAGGGAAATTTAGGAATATAAATATATAATATGTTATATAAAATAAATACATTTACTTCAATTCAACTATACATAT